CAAGGAGGGAAGATCCGGAATCACCCGGATCTCTGGGGGTAGTTCGTTCCATAGGGTGGGAGCTCCAACCGAGAAGGCCCTCCCCCTGGGGGTCGCCAGCCGGCACTGTCTGGCTGACAGCACCCTGAGGAGACCCTCTCTGTGGGAGCGTATCGGCCGATGAGAGGTAATCTGTGGCAGAAGGCGGTCTCGGAGATAACCAGGTCCGATGCCATGGCGCGCTTTAAAGATGGTAATCAACACCTTGAAGCGCACCCGGAAAGCCACCGGCAGCCAGTGCAGTTCACGCAGCAGCGGCGTTACATGGGAGCGACGAGTCACTCCCATCACCGCCCATGCGGCTGCATTCTGGACTAACTGGAGCCTCCGAGTGCTCCTCAAGGGGAGCCCCATGTAGAGAGCATTGCAGTAGTCCTTTGGGTTCTGTATTTTGATTCCACAATGAGGAGAAGAGTGTGAGATGCATAAAAAAAGAAAGAAAGGATGGCACTGAGCACTGATCCATAGGCAGACCAGAAGGAAGAATGTTGCTGGTTGTCTGTTCCTCATAGGCAAGACATAAATAGCATTTTTAGTACACCATAATTCCAGAACAATAGACTGGAATCCAGATTTTACAAAGGGTTATGCGATGGCATAGATGATAATATTCCTTTATGCATGATGAGAATATGAAAGGAATTCTAAAAATAATGTAGAGTGCAGGAATGCCATTGAGACAGGATTCAAAAGTCAGCAGGAGTGTTAATAAAAATGAAATGATGATTTATTCTTGGAAAAAAAGGGATTTTAAATACTTCTGCTTAGAGGGAAAGTTTCAGGTTTCTGTTGTCATATCCTATAGCAATAAAAATAGTTTCTTTGTACTATGTTTGCTGATTGGTCTACCTTAAAATGGTCACATATAGCCTTCTTTCATACTTGCTCATTATTTCCAATTGTTAAAACTTTATCTCAATTTTTTTTCCCATTTAGTTCCATTGGTATCTGAGGACTATTTCATTTAACAACAGTGCAGGAGAAATGATTTCCTTTGATGAAAGAGGAGAGCTAGCAACTGGATTTGATGTTATCAACTGGGTCACATTCTCCAACCAATCATTTCATCAAATCAAAGTTGGAAATATAGCTCCAGTGGCTCTTCCCAAAAATTTTCTTACTATTTCTGCAGAAGAAATAATCTGGCCCACCATGTTTAACCAGGTACCTTTAGCTCCAATATTTCTCAATAGGGAATAATTTCTATTATTTCTTTTCCCAAAGATGCTTTTCCATGAGGCAACTGGACTTTCTTGTTTTTCTTTGAAGATGTTTCACTTCTCATCCAAGAAGCTTCTGGATGACAGTCAGAGCTGAAGAAGCTTCTTGGATGAGAAGCGAAATATCTTCAAAGAAAAACAAGAAAGTCCAGTTGCCTCGTGGAAAAGCATTTTTGGGATAACTATGACCTGGATGACTGAGAATCTTCATAGACATATTATTTCTTTTATTTTAACTTACTGGTTTAAGAGTCAGATAGTTTCTTCAGCAATTCCAGGGTCACATTTCCTGTATTGGAATGACAGCACAAGGGCCTTCAGTTTGAGCTCCTTTGTATGAAGACAATACTCCAGCCCTCAGCACTCATGGACAACTTTGATGAAGAACTTCAAATTTCTCTGGATCAAAGACGAAACAAGAACACATCAACAGGGTCCCCAAATGGCTGCTCCTTGAAAGCAAATAATGGAGCAAAAGCTTTATAACTTTGCAAATGAATTAAGCGGATGAGAGACCAGGAACTTCAATCAATTCAAGTCTTTCATGGATAATAGAGCTGTTGATCCACATCTCTAATCACTTTTGGATTACAAATATTTACAAATAGACTTCTTTCTTTTGAAGATAAATATTGACTTTTGAGTACTTTTCAGTTTTGTGGGGACTATGATTCCAATCTGTGATACAGATAAAATTATGGAATGACTTTAGTTTTTATGTTTTGTAACATTTAATACAAACTTACAATACAGAGGAATTATAGGCACACATTGACTATTTTCTAAAAGTGAAGTTAAAAACTCCATATAAAGACTGATTTGAACTGAATTTGTTGGAGTGAGTAAGACAATGTTCATTTCATGGCAACATAATTCATTGTTTCTCCTATTCCTATTGATTTTGCTGAACTTTTAAAAAATAAAGTTTAAAAACATTTTCAATTAATATTAAAAAATAACATTTGTTTAAAAAGCACTACTTGTTAATATATGATATTATATTAAAATGTATAGGCATTTTATTACTGTACAAAAAACAATATATTGAAAGGAATATACCTAATGTATACTGGGTAGTAGTTTCTACAAAGGGGGAGGAGGGAATTCATCAGCCTTTAATGTAGTGATACATTTCTGCAGAGAACATTATCTGCCCTACCTTATTGAACCAGGTATGTTCTGCACTAATTTTAAAAAGAAATAATAATCACAATATTATTTAAAGAGTGACTCAGTATTCAGATATCTTTCTAGAAGAGTTTTGCCCTTGAACATACAGCATTCTCCGAGTGATTCATATATGTTAAAACTGAAAAGATAATTATCGGTACAAATCACAAAGTAAAAGAATAAATACATCAAATGAATATTAAAATTTTAATTTTCCATAAAATTCAAAGGCAGACTCCATACATAAAAGACCTGAACCTTTGGATATTATTACAAAGCCATTTATAAAGTGAGAGGTCAAGAATGATTTCCAGTTTGAATTAATTTCAACATATTTAAGTACAAAGTTCTTCTGAACATTGAAGTGTACTTCCATAATTTAGTTAGCTAGTCATTTATTTGTTATTATGGCTTTATTTTTCCACCAATATGGACTTTTCAAACAATTCTGGCTTCTTTGATTATTACTATTAATCTAAAATTTCATAAATATTTTCTCAAATTCTAAATATTTGCAACAGTATCCAGAATTGTCCAAGATTTCAAAGGGATGCCTATTTTAGTGTAATATTAGATAATTTTAATTCCAAAAGATGTTAAATGGATAATTAGAGGAATTTAAACAAGTTATATGTCCAGTTGGAAAAAATACTCATGCCATATATGAATGCAAATATATTATATACCTAAATTATTAGTAAAATTCCAATTCTTTAGATGCAAGTATTTCTGAATGTTAAAGAATAATGTCTCAATTTTCCTTCTTAATGTCCAATAGGCACAGCCCTTTTCTATGTGCAATCCTCAATGCTTATCAGGGTCTAGCAAAATAATAATAGAAGGAAAGTCCTTTTGTTGCTATGATTGTCTTAAATGTCCAGAAGGGAAAATTTCAACCAATACAGGTAAGAGATCTAAAGGACAAATTTCAGTGCTTTGTATTTTGTACAATATTTCTTAGATCTATTTTTAATATTGCTTTTTAATTATAAATAGTAGTTTACCATATCTTTAAAAAATTGTCTATAATTCAGGAGAGATGTTGACTAATCAGTCTATTGAAATCTCATGCCATATTTTTATTTTGGGAAAGATAAACCAGTTCATAAAAATATTTCACCAATGGCTTCTATGAAAGTAAAGAAATAGCAATGCTAGCTGGGATGAACCTTATATCATTTTGGAGAATTCCAGTTTAGAAGGAGATTGAAAGAAATGCTAAAGGTTCAGTCCCAGTTAATTAAACCTAATCTTGGAAGAAAAAAAATCTTGATAGTATATTCTTGGAAGAATAGAGAAAATTAAGCTTCAATGTATCTCAAGTGAACTCTTGGATAACCTTTAAAAGTAATCTCTAACTGTAATGGTTCCTTAATAATAGAAAAATAATAAGCCAAACCAACAAATAAATAACGTGGACAGAAAAAATGCTAAATTTCAGTATATTATAGAATTAACAAAGATTCTGCCTGATTTTAAGTGGTGCTGTGTGGTTTCTTGGAATGGGTAGTAGAATGGGTAGTAATAAAGAAAAGTCAAAAGAGCTGTGTCTTAATGGTAAATCTGCCATAATTATGTTCCTCTTCTTTATAGGACAGGAATCTTTGGGTCCTTCTTTGCAGTCCCAGAACTCCCCAAAACTATTCAGGATGATAGATATTTCCCCATAAATCCAATTATTATTTCCTTTTGCTGTATGCAGCAGAGCTATTAGAAATAAAAGATCATCATAACAATGTTGATCAGTCTTAGATATGTTTAGTTTCCTTGATCAGAATGTGAGCAACCAGATCTCTAACATGCCTAAATCATTCCAGGATAAATTGAAAACACTTAGCTTAAACAGTCACATTAGCTATCTTTCCTCCCATACAATCAAATAAAATTTATAAATATGAAAACAATATCTTTTTTCAGATGCAGATGACTGTTTCTCATGTTCAGAAGATGAATATCCAAACAAAGGTCACACTCTTTGTATTCCAAAACGCATCACATTTTTGTCTTATAAAGAATCTCTGGGAATTAGCCTGACAACTATGGCTTTCTTCTCTTCTTTCATCACAGCTTTGGTGCTGCATATCTTCATTAAACACCAGGACACTCCAATCGTCAAAGCCAACAATAGGAACCTCACCTATATTCTTCTCATTTCCCTCTTCCTCTCCTTCCTTTGCACTTTGCTTTTCATTGGGCAACCTGACCAAGTAAAGTGCCTCATGCAACAAACTTCTTTTGGCATCATTTTTTCTGTAGCCCTTTCTTGTATTTTAGGCAAAACAATCATAGTGGTTCTTGCTTTTATGGCCACCAAACCAGGCTCCAAAATGAGGAAATGGTTGGGGAAAAGGTTGGCCAATATTATTGTTCTTTCTTGCTCCCTAGTCCAAGCCACCTTTAGTGGTGTGTGGCTGGCAATTTCTCCCCCATTCCCACATTCAGACATGCATTCTATTGCTGAAGAAATTGTCCTAGAATGTAATGAAGGTTCAGCCATCATGTTTTATACTGTCCTTGGTTTTATGGGTTTCTTAACTGTTATCAGTTTCACTGTAGCTTTCTTTGCTAGGAAGCTACCTGATAGTTTCAATGAAGCCAAATTTATCACCTTCAGCATGTTGGTCTTTTGTAGTGTCTGGATATCATTTTTTCCCACCTATCTAAGCACCAAGGGGAAGTACATGGTGGCTGTGGAGATCTTCTCCATTTTAGCTTCTGCAGCTGGTTTACTGTGCTGCATCTTTGCCCCAAAATGCTACATTATTGTTCTGAGGCCTGATTTGAACAGAAAGGAACAGCTGGTAAAGAAACAAAACTGACTCTTTAGATCCATTATGCTATAAAGTTTCCAAATCGTGATAGAAATCTAATTTGTCTTGTTAAATGACTACTGACTAGTGTTTTTATTTTTACACCAAAAATGTGCAGGCATAAAATATGGAATATAGTTCTTATACAATGGTTTCTTTACATATCAGATTGGGGGCTTTTTTGCAAGAAATAAAGAAATGTATTCCAGTTGCTATAGGAATTATTGAAGGCTATCATAGAAAAGAGAGGCAATAGGAAAACCAAGAGTGAGAAGCTAATGGAAATATAAAGCAAATGAGGAATGAGAAATAAAAATTATATCTACTTTTTGCCATTTTGTTCTACTTTTGAAAAAAATTAAATAGCCCCAAAATAGAAGAAAGACAGGAAAGTTGAGAAATAACTCATATAAATGATAGAAACACTTTTGACAATAGGTAAACTTTTGAAAGAAAACTGAGAATAAAATGAGGTTACATATGTAAGTATAGCTAGGATTATGGCTAGGAATTGTATTGAAACCTTATTGCAATCTTGAAATTTACATAATATTATCTCCTTGTCTATGCAAATTTCATAAAATGAATAAGTAATGCTACTGATTAACCTATATTAAGTAATAAACAACAAAGCACAAACCATGGCATTAAACCAGCTAAAGCCCTTCAAAACAGCCTGATTAAACAGACAATCCAGTAACCCGATAAGAAGAAACAGGAGTCATCTACAACATAGGGTGTAAGGACTGTAACAACCTCTATTTAGGACAAACAGGGAGAAGATTAGCAGAGCGCATCCATGAACACCAACTAGCCGAAGATATGATGAAAATTCCTTGATTTTGTAATACATGGAGAGATTTAATCATATATATATTGTTATTTAACTTTGCCCTTTGTCTTGAGACTAGTTGTCTGAGACAGTCAGAAGTGCCATGGTAATATATCCCCTCCTTTCAGTGCTTGTGGTCTGCATAATATAATTGTGAATAGAAGACATAAATTAGGATGCAGCCAACTGCTAAATTAGGGAACAGATGCTCTAATACTCATTTCAGGTTGTATATGCAAAACTTCCAGCACATCTTGGCTTTGGAATTTGCAATGAAGAAATCAATGAAAATTGTAGGATCTTGCCTAATATGACCTGGGTATCCATATCTCCAATAGCAATGTCCTGGCAAGATGGATTTATCTGGCTTCCATAGAGCTTCTCTCTACAAACGGAAGGTTTATTCCAAACTACAAGTGTGATTTCAAGAACAATGTAATATATGTGATTGCAGGACATAATGCTTACATACGGCAGTTCATGTCAATATTCTGAGCATTTACAAGGTTCCACAGGTAAGAGTTATTCCAGAAAGAAAGAAGTGAAATTCAACCCATTCACACATTTATGTGATCATTTGTGGTTTGTACATAGTGATAAATGAAACAAAAATAAAAACTATGCAATAAACTCATCTGGGAATTTCCTCACTCTGTGTATAATAAAATACGCAATAAATTTAGGCCAAATACAATGTATGAATATTCCTTTCTTATTGTGAGTACACATGGATATAAAATGAAGCATATCAGTACACTTTCTCATTCTATTTAAACTTAATTTCATGAACAATTATATTTATTAATCAAAATATGAACCACGTTCAAATTTTTAATTGGCAGTATACAAGAGTATTATTTACATTGGATAACAACAGAAGAATTATAATCAAAGTATACTGATCCCCTCTCTTATTAAAAAGATTACTCACAATGTGCTTGATTTAGTTTAATTTCTATTACAAATTTTTGTTTAGATTATGAATGTAAGTAATGTCACAAATCTTCAAAACAAAGGAGAATCAACTTTGCTTGATATTGTTAATATCACAATTAAACTAAATATCAAAATATATTTCACCCAGGGATAGAAAGACTCTGTTGTAATGCTAGAAAGCTGTATATTCCTACTCCTATGGAAAACAATTTCATTTAATCACATGTTTTAAGTACAGCATAATGCAATGGTACATATGCATTCTTAAGTTCCTATATTTCTGAAGCTTTAAAAAGGCACTATGTTAAAAGAAAAATAAACAATTTACATAGAAATTATATCAGAATGTGCAAATTCTGCTGTTCTTTGGAGAGCAATGTTAATATTTAACAATAGATGCAAGTATTTTGAATTGGAAATATATCCTCCAGTTTCTTTATTTTTTCTTAGCTCATATATGGTTCAGCTGCAGATACGGATAACAACATTCAAGCAGCTTTCTTCCATCAATTATTTCCAAGTGAAGATCTTCAAATTATGGAGATCATCCAATTGTTGGTTCACTTTGAGTAGAAATGGATTGGGCTCATTACTCAAAACCTTGAAAGAGGAAAGAGTTTTATACAGGATAGAATTGATATATTTTTTAAGAAAGGCATCTGTTTTAGAAGAAATGCCAAAGGAACCTGTTACCAATGACATTGAGGATCAGCTGAATGGCTATTTTATGATATACAAGATTATTATGAGAAGTACTGCCAATGAGGACATAACTGTCTTTAGATTGTTGCCATATATTTCAGAATATGTGGACATGTCGATGAAAAGATAAAGTTTGGATAATGCCAGCACAAATGGAATTCATATAAGTCCCCTTTCAAAGAACCAGAGGCATGGACTTTATCCACAGTGCACTAAAATTGGCAGTTTCTTCAAAGGAAATAGTAGGGTTTAAGAATTTTTTTCTGATGAAAAAGCCTTCTTCTGAAGAAAAAGACAGCTTGACAAGAGTGTTTTGGGAACATGCCTTTGAATGTTCTTTCCCAAATTCTGGGTTAGATGGGGACAGTGGCAATAAATGCACTGGTGAGGAATCATTAGAGAACCTTCCTGAATCTGTGATTCAATCTAGTATAAGTGGGCAAAGTTATAGCATTTACCATGCTGTCTATGCAGTGGCCCATGCTCTGCAAGCCATGCTTTCATCTAAACGCAGAAAGAGAGGACATCCTTGGGAACTCAGGACTCTAAGTCAACAGTCATGGCAGGTAAATTGAAATGAATGTAAATATCCCTTTATATAAGGGCCATGAAAATAAGTGTTCAGTTAGTATTTTGGAGTTGTATAGCTATTAAGAATATTCTGAAGCTGAATTAACTCTTGATATGTCAGAACTTCAAAGAGGGATAATGTTTGCCTGAATAATTCATGGTAAACATGGTGTGCAACAATGCTGAGAAGGAGACAATATCAAATGTTAATTCAAGGGGAGTTTTAGAAGGAAGACAAAGGCAGTGTGTAGGGTAAATCAATTTCCAGATGAATGGAACTGTTCAATAGACAGAGACATAAGGAATGTGTCCTTGTAGCTTACAGTGGTTTGTGATAGTTGTATCAGAACATCCCCCTAGCAACCTCTGCATCTTATGATGCAAATGTTTCTTCTAACTAAGATCATTGATCTCTATAAATAACAGAAGGGCTGGAAGTAACTTGAGATCTATTATGCAGTTACTTATGAATAGATATGCATGCATCATTTTGCTCTCCTTTTTGAAATATACTGTATAAATATCATTTATCTGCAGCAATTATCTGCAATGATCCTTGATTATTTGCTTTGGGTTCTGCATTTCGATTCTGCAGTGAGGAGAAGATTATGAGATGAGGAAGGAAGGAAGGAAGGAAGGAAGGAAGGAAGGAAGGAAGGAAGGAAGGAAGGAAGGAAGGAAGGAAGGAAGGAAGGACATCTTCAAATGGGTTGTTTGTCTATAACATTTAAAATAGTGACTGCAATAATTTCTTTTCCAGATGCAGATGACTGTTTTCCATGTTCATAAGATCAGTACACAAACAAAGCTCACAATCTTTGCATTCCAAAACACATCACATTTTTGTCTTATGAAGAGCCTCTGGGAATTTGCCTGACAACAATTGCTTTCTTCTTTTCTATCATCTCAGATATGTTCCTGGGAATCTTCATTAAGCAACAAGACACCCCATTGTCAAAGCCAACAACAGGAACCTCATCTACATTCTTCTTATTGCTCTTCTACTCTCCTTCCTTTGCACTTTGCTCTTCATTGGGCAATCTGACCAAGTAAAGTGTCTCATACGACAAACTTCTTTTGGTATAATCTTTTCTGTAGCCCTTTCTTGCATATTGGGCAAAACAACCATAGTGGTTCCACCAAGCCAGGCTCCAAAATGAGGAAATAGTTGGGGGAAAGGCTGGCCTGCTTTTCTGCCTCTTAAGATCCTTTGGGGAAATATAGTATTCTGCCTTTTTAATATTCCCCAAAATATTTTTTTTCTTGCAGGGGGGGTGACTTCCCACAATCCCCCCTTTGTTCCATAAAAGTTGGAACAACACAACACAAAATGCAGGGTTCATTACATGCTGGAGTTTGTTGAACCTGGAATTAATGCCATAAATCTGAACATATCTTCCCCATTATAGTCAACAAACATACAACATTCTACCATTATAGAATTATTCGCAATTGCTAGAATTTTTGGCAATTTTGTGAACTTCTGATTCACAAATTACAATAACTTTGATTCCCTTTAGAAAAATTGTTACTAAGAAAAATAGAAAAAAGACTTCCATAGAATCATTTTGCTAACAGGAATGAAATGTTACATATAATATCTGAATACTCACAGTTGTACATTCTGAACATTTGAAATTCAAAACTTCTGCTGCCTGTTCCTCTGAATTATCAGAAACAAATGCAAGTTATTTGGTGACCTAGACAATTAAGATGCCCTGGCCATCAGCCTAGTTACCATTTCTATATATACAAGCTTTATTAATTTTTCAAATGTTTACATCCAAATACTTAGGAAGCAGTGTGGTAATAGGGTAAACCAATAGTCCAATAACAAAATAATTCATATATACCTCAGGTTACATCAATAAAAGTTCCCTCTCTATTTCCCACAAATATTATATCATATTCATATTAAGTTTCTAGCTAAAGCTCAATCAATCATCACATTTATCAATAACATTTTAGTTATACATATCAAAGTCCTGTTTTTAGGTTTTATTTAATTCCAATTTATATATCCCAATTTAGCCTTTTATAACTAATGTTTAAGCTTTGGATAACCTTAATTTCCCTCATTTCATTATAGGATAATTAACATAACTAAAATACACATATTATTCAAAAATTTATCTTTTTATTTTATTGACAAGTATATACTATTTCTCATCCTAGTAACTCCTCATTTAGTAGCAAAATGTCTTTCATTGTCACAAATCTATTTCCATATAACAGTTGAAGTTATAATCTAAGAGTTAATTTTAATTCCCATTATAAATCTAAATCCTAAATGTTAACGCAATCATTATCTCTAAAAAGCTGCTTGACCCATTAAGTAGATTTCTGAATCCCATTTTTAAATCTAACTCTGGCTTTCTTTTTGTGCCAGGCAGGTTTCCATCCTATAGCCTCTAAATCCTCGGATGTATTTCCCTTCATTTCCACACCTGTTGTTTGAACCAAGGGAGAATGTCCAATTATCAATCTTTCAAGAGAACTGCCCCCTTTATAATCACTAGGTTGTTGCCCTAATAGTTCAAATCTCCATGTTTGATTTAAAATATTTATCATCTGTTCAGTCAGGTCCTCTTCTTCTTCTTGCAGTTTCATCTGAATAGAGTAGAAAGTCATGTCCAATTGTGTCATTGTTATTTGGTTGTCTGGATTGTGTAGATTCTCAGTGTAGCATGTTTGTTGATCAATTCCTGTTGCTTTTGGATTTATACTGTAATTAATGTCAATGTTTGAATATCAAAGTTCTCAATTGTATGTGTTGTTGAGTAAAATCTTCTTTGCTGTTAAATTGTTCCTCTTCTGTTATTTTTTGGCTTGTAAGTTGATCAATTTGAGTCTGGGGTTCAATTTGTAGTTTTGTGAAAATATCCTTGGCTTTCACTCGTGAATTCATTAGTTCAGTGGCTTCAAGGATTTTTTTCGAGGATAAGTTTATAATTAAGTTGTGGGTATGGTTCCTCCGTTTCCATGGTGATATAGTTTTTTAGTGGAGGCTATGTTTAGTAAAAAATCAGCCATTGTCCACCTTCACACTTTGTAAAAGTTACTGTCACCACCCAGTTGTTTCCACTTCTTATCTTTTTAGATAATATGAAGGGCAAATCAGGGAAGTCAAAAAGGACAATTGAAAGGAAAAAAACAATTCAGTTGCTATGCCATGTTTCACCACAAGATGTCCCCATCAGACCACAAAATCCTTTCCCAGATGCCAAATAGCCTTTTATTCAGTTAAAACACACACACAAAAAAACCACAAATATTTCCCAAAGTTAATAGTTAAAGAAGATGTTAAATCTCTATAATAAAACGTTTTGGGACCCCCAGGTATCCACAAAACAAAAATCCAATTATTTGGTTGTTGAGATTAATTGTCTTTTTTTTTTCTTTCCAAAATTTAAAATCTCAAGTACCCAAACGCCGCTGTATTGAGAGCGGGAAAAAGAGTTTCAAGGAGCTTTCACAGAAAAGTGGTTAGGGAAGAAGAAAGGTAAAAAAAAGGTCTCACCCCAATCTTCCACTCCTGCTTCGTTGTGCTTAGTTGTTATTTTGGCTTTTGGCTGGTGTGACTTGATGATCGGCCATGTTAATGGCCGATGTTTTCTTTGTCTCTCCTGGGGAGTTGCCTCGGATCAAACAGAAGGGCCACCGCCCTTACATGATCTAGCAAGGGTCCTCCCCAGTGGTGGCCGCCCCTCCAGGGTGACTTTCGACCCTTTCCAGGGTCTTCCGATGAAGGGAAACCAAACGGCGGTGAGAAGGCTCTCCCCGTACGTCCGAAGGCACCGTGATCTGGAACCGGAAGCCTGCCTAGTGACCATTTCTAACTGTGATCTACTGTTTCATCCTAGCACAGGATATTTTTTTCCTGAAATTGATTAGATATCTTTTAATATTTGCAGCAAACAAATTCAATTAATAATAGAATTTTCAAAAAATAATGACTATTTCATTTTGGAAAACCATAGCCCCTCTTTCTCCTATGTTTAGCTCATAGAAAACACAAGGTGTTTTCTTTCATCAGTTTTTTTCCCAAATAGTGATCAAGAGATTATGGGTCTTCTCCAGCTGCTGTTGTATTTAAAATGGACATGGATTAGACTAATTTTCCAACCTGAAAAGAGTGGTGAAAGGTTAATAGAAAATGCTGTTACTTTGTTTTCCCAGAAAGGAATCTGTTTTGACTTCATGGAAGAGCTAGTCCAGCCAACATTTGCCAATTATGTTGAAAGTATAGTGAATGATTTTTGTAAACTGTATGTGATTATCATGAAGAGCACTGTCAATGTGATAATCCTATACTGTGAAAACCAATACATTATTGCAATTACATTTTTGCCCTCTTTTGAAGAAATGGTAGAGATACGAGTCAAAAGAAAATAAAGTTTGGATATTGCCAGCTCAGATAGAATTTACATCACTTTCCCTTCTCAAAATGTTGGGTATGGATGCTTTCCATGGTGCTATAACTTTCAAGTGTCTTTCAAGGAGATTCCTGGATTCAAAAAATTCCTTCAGATGACAAAGCCAACTTTAGGAGAGAAAGACCAATTAATGAGAGTGTTTTGGAAACAGGTTTTTGAATGTACCTTTGCTCAAGCATTGGTAGATGTTGGAAAGCTGTGAACTGGAGAAGAGAATTTTGAGAATGTACCTAATTCTGTGTTTGATACCACCATGACTGGGCAGAATTACAGCACCTATAATGCATCTATGCTATGGAACATGCTTTACACATCATGCTTTACCCCACATTTAAACACAGGGCAAGAGAGTTGGGAAAGAAACATTTTTGACTGAAAAACAATGGCAGGTAATTAGAGAATGCACGAAGATTTCCCATTAATCAATTTGCTGATTTTGACAGTTTCCATTTGCTAATAATTGTATCTGAGAAGCTGTCTCTATTAGATCTAGGGGTGATTGACTTGTTCTTCTTTCTTCTCATTCTATTGTGTTGTTCTTAGTGCTCTGAAAATCATTT